GAGAGAGAGAGAGAGAGAGAGAGATTAATTGGAAAGTTTGCATCAAAAGTTTGATATCAATTATAAATACCCTTAATTTAGTTATAAAATCTGTTGACAAATTACATGTTGCTGTAACCCTCTTATAGTATAGATTATATTGAATCAAGTTTTAAATACTAAACGTTAAATAACAACAATTTTTTAGTCATTTGTTATTTAATTTAGACACAACTTATTCATCAGATAATTGAGATAAAAAATTAATTCATTATACAATTTAATGTAATATAGCTTTTAATAAGCGCTGTAAATATGACATCTGATAACGTAAATCTATGAGTACTGTATATATTTACTACAAACATATTATTTTATAAATATCACGAGTTTTTTTTTTGAAATCATTTACATATAAAATAATTGGCATTTACTTTGCAATAATAATAGAAGTGATTGTGAGAAAATACTTTCACTGATTATATCTGGTATTCATCATAACATGATATACGATATTATATGAGAGAAAAATATTTGACACTAAATATTGACCGAGATTTTTAAAATCTCATCACAATATTATATGGTTAAATGTAACGCTAACGTTATACAGTAACTTATAACGCTAAATGACATTACAAATCACTTGTACATTCAAGAGCTGCAGCTCTATAGACTTGATAGTTATGACAATTTTACAAATTTGTTTAGAATTATGTTGAAATGGCTTATGATGTATTATTATTTATCATGCGACCAATATAAAATGTGTTATGGTAGAATACAAATTAGATTTTTAATTAACATTCTAGTTATCAAAATTACATAAAAATAATGAGAGCATCTAAAATTAATTACAAAGGCAGAAAATAGGGATAAAATAAACAAGCTAGTTAATTTAATTACGGATTGTCTGCATAGTTGTGGATCAATCAATTATAATTATCAGTACTTTAATTCATAAATATTTGAATTTAACGATTTTGTCAATTTTGTCTACCAATCAATGATTGCTTTCAGTTGTTATATATAATTCTGATTTGTATTTTATCAATGTTATTTTACGTCAATACAATAGGTTGTGTGAAATTTAATTGCTTTTCAATAAACAATTGTCGGAAATTTGAATCAACTAAATTAGCATGTTAAATTTAAGTGTTAAATAAATATAGTGTTTATATTACTAGATAGACTATTAAGATTCAACCAAATTATCAAAACCGCAATTTCCTTTTTATACGACACTTAATGTGTTTTCTAATAATATTAATAATTCTTGTGTTTTTAGTTCATAACAATTAATAATTATATTGAAATATATTGCAATTCTTACAAATTAAATACAAAGAATAGAGAAAATTAATTTAGTTTTTCTATTAACAACAAAAACACAATCATTTATCTGTTATTTTTAGCAAAAATATATACTATAATAAGAATTCAAATAATTAAAATTGCTCTCTCTCTCTCTCTCTCTCTCTCTCTCTCTTTCTCTCAACCTAAATGAACTAATATTAAGACACTGTTGTAAGTCCATCATTTGTCCACATGTATACAGTATAATAAAAACAATTAATATTAAACATATAATAATTGCTATAAATAACACCAAAAAGGACTAAATTATATAAAGTGGAGTAAAGAGAGTACAACTGACCGATATTGACGATACGGATCTTCTCTTCATTCTTGAGGAACTGAATGGCAATATTGACGTTCTCGAGCTTTTGAGCCCTAACTTTGGGCCGTTTGTTATACGGCGGCAACTTCTTGCCGGCCAACACCTCCACCAACGCTATCAGCCGCAGGCCATCCGTGAAATCGGTGCCCAAATCGGTCACAAACTTGTTCACTGTCCTCAAGTGCTCGTTAGCCCATCTAAACGCGTGTCGTTATAATAAGCTCTCTATTAATACAATAGTCAATGTGTCTAATACTGTCTATTAGTTTTCAATTTAAATCTCATCTCAATTTGTGGTGCATTGAGACTGAAAGTGGAGAATAATATTAATAAATATTAATCCAATTGAAGACAATGAATATATCTATTGTATAGTCATATCATATAATTTATCTAATGATGAATTTTTCTGTATAATAAATGCGATGAATGTGTTATAAAATTCTGGTGAGATTTATATTGAA